CTCATAACTGATAATTATTGTTATTATCATTTTTGTTAATCATGTCATGTTTTTGTGTCAAATGTTGTACTAAGATACCATCCACTGGACAGTAATGAAGCCATGAATGATGAGATGTAGGCTAAGGAAATTAAATCAGAGATAATAAATTAAAAATAATGCATGCATAATCATCATTAAACTTTTATTACTAAAATTAAATGACGTCACTTCCTGTTTCAATGACCTTCCGGTTTCATTTTACTTCCGGTTATGTAATTTGATCTGCTATTGACTGCTAAGCAGCTCATTACTGTCTCAAAATATTTGAACTATTTGCAGCCTCAGCATCAAATCATTCAAACACAATGCCAGCATGTGCTTTACTGGTCCACTACACACAATAAATCTGCAGCATCATCAATAATAGTGCCAATAGTCATTCCATCCCATGTAAGCTACTAATACTAGTATGTGATGAGTCTGCAGAGAGTAATAGTTCGATTGCTTATTGCTGACTTGTTATCTTTATCACATCAAAGTGGACACATGATATTATCTCACAGTGTAAGCTTGCACCCTCTAGCACACTCCTCTCCCTTAAACTCACTATAATCTCCTCTACTTAGTTCTCATCATTTCTTTCTTTCTTGCGAATATCTTTCCTTTCTTCTACTTTCACTGCCTTTTTCATGAGACTGTCCATATATGATGCCAATTGCTGTGTGTCAAAATTATAAAATCTTTCTCTTTTGTAAATTATCATGAACATGTATATTAATCATTACAAGTGCAAAAACAAGTCAAATATATTTATTATTTATCAGTTTGTTTTAATCATTTCCAAAGGAGTTGCGACTGGTTCAAAAACAAGTTGAATACATTTATTACTTGCCAGTTTGTTCTAACATTTCCCAAAGGAGTTAAGACTGGTGCACAAACAAGTCAAATACATTTATTATTCATCACCTTATTCTTATCTTCCCCAAAAGAGTTAGGACTGCTAACTAATATCATCTTGATGACACCTCCATAGCAACACTGAGGGCTTGCTTTTATTTCTTACAATAATGTACAGAGGCACACACATACATGTACATGTACAATGGATATAAAATATATGCATGTACATAAATGCAATGATATAATGGTTGTGATGTCTTGCTTCAAGGATGATCCTGTCTCTATGTAATGTATGCATAACATGTATAATTGTTATTACATGCACACCAGTATTGGAGTGTGTCTAAAAATAACTCACTCTGATATAGGTAATATTGCACTACATACATTATGATTGATGTCAATTTACAATCAGAACCATGACACTGACAAAAGTGCTGAACCTCTCACAGCACCATCATTAAAGTCACGTGAGACAGGAAGCCATCTAACAGTAGAATATATTGCAATACATTCACTGAGTGACGTCAGTTATAGTTCAGTACTAGTGTCTAATAACTGCTGGTGAATAGAGGAATCTGATTGGCCGGAGCTCCGATAATCATAACAAAACATGGTAAGACACTTACATGTAGTTAATGAGATGCACCCTCCCTCTCGGCTGAGCCAGCCGGAAGAGAGAGATGTTATAAAAGTACACGAGAGAGAAGGATTAGTAGTTATAGGATACGTACAGTGTATAGCGAAAGCTTAGAACAAGAAAAGGCTGTTTTGTTGATAAGAAGAAAAATAATCAGCATTGCTCAGTTGCCCTTCATCCTACAACCAAAATGACAGAGGTTGAGTATATTATTTACATGTACACATGTGGTTACATTGTACCTATTCCTATTGAACTCTAGTGCTCTGTATCAGGCTGTAAGACACAAAAGAGATGGAGTAGCTGATGGGAAGTGGTATAATTGCAAAGTAAAGCATAGGTTCTGCGATGATCACCAAAATAAAGATTACTGCCCTCATCATCCTGGTCAGGCACATAAATGATCCCTAAGAAACAAGCTGGTTGCATTTGACTCTTTAACTTTCAAAAACTACTAATCCTTCTCTCTCACTTTTTAGAATATCAGTGTGGCGTACATGTACAGTGTAGTTTGAACATATCAAATGATACCCTCCTTCCCTTTATTTCATGTAGTCTTTAGATAAAGTTTGTGATGGATGTCAAAAGAAGGCAACAGTTAAAAGATGTCACCTGTTTAATTGCAGAGTGACACATTATTTCTGTGAGCAATGCAGGAACAGTGAACTATGCCCATTGCATCCAAGAGACCACAGAATAATATACTAACACACACACACACACAATATCACTATACTTACATGTACATGTACATGTATCAATATCACTATAATCTACTTTATGTACTGTATGTATGTATGTACATGAACATTCATCAGTGTGTACATATTATTATTATTATTGTATTAGCAATACTTATTCATTTTCAATTATTAAATTTATACATGTAAATGATATTAATATTACAAAGAACTGTCAAGTCAGTTCCAGCCATCATTCAATACTAACAGACATTGTCTGCATGTTTACTGTAATCATATTTACATGTAAAATGTTGTATCTACAGCAATGACAATAATAAGTACATGTACGTCACACCAGCTGATAGTCCCCACATACCAATAAGAAACATTTGAACATTCATTGATCAGTTAGTATCACTTGAGAGGGGAAACCCGAGGGAACACCCCCCAAGGGACGGCATGAATACAATAATAATAATAGCTAGTGCTTGGGTGATTCTGATTGGCTACGATAGAGGCATTCCTTGGGAAACAGGTTGGTATAAAATGAGAGAGAGAGAGAGAGGAGAAAGAGGCACATGTAGTTTTACAAGGACATGTAAAAAGTGTCCTAAAGCTGTACAAAGTGTTCTGTTGTCTACCAAAAGGATTACTCTTTAATAATAACATGTATAATTGTTATTACATGCCCAGAAGCATTGGAGTGTGTCTAAAAATAACACACTATGATATAATATACCTAATATTATGATTGATGTCAATTTACAATCAGAACCATAACATTGACAACAGTGCTGACTCACATCATTCCAGTGTCAACACATTGATATTGATGACCAGTCAGCACATACACATTGTCTTGCAATATCGTACACAGGACACTCCCTGGGGAAACCCCTAGCAGCACCATCGTTAGAGTCATGTGAGAGGAAGCCACTCAACAGTAGAATATATTGCAATACACTTACTGAGTGACGTCAGTTATAGTTCAGTACTAGTGTCTAATAGCTGCTGGTGAATAGAGGAATCTGATTGGCCGGAAGGTTGCTAGCTCCGATAATCATAACCAAATATGGTAAGTCATTTAGTTAACGAGACGTACCCTCCCTCTCGGCTGAGCCAGCCGGAAGAGAGAGGTTATAAAAGTACGAGAGAGAAGGATCGGTAGTTATTGGATAGTTCGAAATACTTTGAAGTGTTAGAAAGGAAAAAAGCTACTAAGGAAAATCAGTGCCACTTAAATCTTGAAAAAATTACTCTTTCAATCAGAGATCAAACAGAAAATCATGTGCCATCAGGTTCAGTGATATAATTTGCATGTATAATCATTATAATTCCAATTACTAAACATTCTAGTGCTCTGTCCATAACTGTAGAACATCACAAACAAATGTAAAAGACGGCATTTGGTACCATTGCGGTATCAGACACAGGTTCTGTGAGAGTCACAGGAACAAAGACTACTGCCCTCATCATAGAGGCAGCGCAAATAAGAATCCTTATGGGCATAACTGAAACTGCTCACTTTCTCTCCCTCTTGCTCTCTTTTGTTTAGAAACTACTAATCCTTCTCTCTCTGTTGTACTTCAACATGTACATGTACATGTACTGAGTGTGTGTCTACTATTCATTTGACTATTATTTAAAAGTATTGTTTTAATGTCTCAATTATTATAGTCTTTAGAAAAAGTTTGTGATGGCTGCAAGAGGAAGGCAACACTTAAAAGATGTCACTTGTTTAGCTGCAGACTTACTCATTATTTCTGTGAGCAATGCAGGAACAGTGAACTATGCCCATTGCATCCAAGAGACCACAGAATAGTATACTAACACACACACACACACACACACAAATCACTATACTTATCAATATAATCTACTTTATGTACTGTATGTACATGAACATTCATCAGTGTGTACATTATTATTATTATTATTATTGTACTAGCTATACTCATTCATTTTCAATTATTAAATTTATGAATGATAATTTACAAAAGATCTGTCAACTTATTTCCAGCCATCAATCAATACTAACACACATTGTCTGTACAGTATGTTTACTGTAATCATATTTACATGTATCTACGGCAATGAGAGTACATGTACGTCACACCAGCTGATAGTCCCCACCTACAAGTACCAATAAGAAACATTTGAACATTCATCGATCAGTTACTATCACTTGAGAGGGGAAACCCCAGGGAACACCCCCCAAGGGACGGCATGAATACAATAATAATAATAGCTAGTGTTTGGGTGATTTTGATTGGCTACGACAATAAGTGTACATGAGGCATTTCTCGGAAAAAAGGTGGTATAAAAAGAGAGGGGGAGAGGGATCGATCGAGAGAGGAGGTACAAAATAAGAAGTGTCCTAAAGCTGAATAAAACTGTTCTGTTGTTTACCAAAAGGATCATTCTTTAACAGGAATGGCTACCCAACCCTCTATCTACCTATCAGGCCATCACTAGTTCAAGAATAGATGTACATGTACAGTACATGTATATAATACATGTATATGTAGAGTACATACTATAAAGTACTGACATAGTATAATGATGAGTTTGCTATGTCAATAATGATAGTCATCATCACACTCACACAGTCAGCACAACATGTTATGTGATATGATTAACATGCTTATCGGTCTTGCTCAGCATAAGCCACACACCCTCTCAGTGGGACACTACCAGGGAAACCCCCTTGCTGACGATAGCCGATCAACATGTCAACAACTATCGTGCTGCAATTTCATTGGTCAGTTGAGGGGCTGTACCAGGGAAACCACCTAACAGTAGAATATATTGCAATACATTCACAGAGTGACGTCAGTTATAGTTCAGTACTAGTGTCTAATAGCTGCTGGTGAATAGAGGAATCTGATTGGCCGGAAGGTTGCTAGCTCCGATAATTATAACCAAATATGGTAAGTCATTTAGTTAATGAGATGCACCCTCCCTCTCGGCTAAGCCAGCCGGAAGAGAGAGGTTATAAAAGTACGAGAGAGAAGGATCAGTAGTTATTGGATAGTTCAAAATACTTCGAAGTATTAGAAAAAGAAAAGAAATAGTTTCGACAAAGAAAAGTCAAAAGAGTCAGTATTGCTAATAGTTGCTCATTATTCTAGTTTAGTAGACAATCAAGATGTGCAAAGAGGTTGAGTACATTACTTGCATTTATAGTTATAATTAGATATTCCTATTGAACTCTAGTGCTCTGTATCAGGCTGTGGTACAAAAAAGGACAAAGTAGCTGATGGGAAGTGGTATAATTGTCAAGAAAAGCATAGATTCTGCAATGATCACCAAAATAAAAAATACTGCCCTAAACATCCCAGTCAGCCACATAAATGATCTCTAAGGAACAAGCTGGTTGAAGTTGAACAAAACTCTTTAACTTTTTTACTACTGATCCTTCTCTCTTTTACATTTTCAGAGTGTACTCATACATGTAGTTTGAACATTATTATTATACTGATACCATCCCTCTCTCCTTCCCTTTATTTCATGTAGTCTTTAGATAAAGTTTGTGATGGTTGCAAAAAGAAGGCAACAGTTAAAAGATGTCACTTCTTTAGCTGCAGAGTGACACATTATTTCTGTGAGCAATGCAGGAACAGTGAACTATGCCCATTGCATCCAAGAGACCACAGAATAATATACTAACACAATTACAATATCACTATACCCATCAATATAATGTGTGTACATGTATCTATTATTGTTATTTAGTATTAGATACATTTCATCATTAAATTTTCTAAATGTCATAAAAAACTGTGAAGCTACATGTATATCCAGCCATGAATTAAACACACAATGTCCATGTAATGTACATGTACATGTATGCTTACTGTGCTGTTGTAATCAAATTGTACAACAATAAGTACAGTGTACATTTACGTCACACCAGCTGATAGGCCCCACCTACCAATAAGAAACATTTGAATATTCATTGATCAGTTAGTATCACTTGAGAGGGAAAACCCCAGGGAACAGCCCCCAAGGAACGGCATGAATACAATAATAATAATAGCTGATTCTGATTGGCTACGATAGAGGCATTCCTTGTGAAACAGGTTGGTATAAAATGAGAGAGAGAGAGAGAGGGGAGAAAGAGGCACATGTACTTTAAGAAGGACATGTAAGAATGCTAAAGCTATACAAAAAGTTCTATATACAATGTATAACAGGACTTCTTTAGCAGAAATGGCTACCAAACCCTCTATTGTACATGTGTACAAGGTACATCCAAAAATATTACATGTATGTAGTACATAATTTACATGTACATGTACTATGAAGTACTGACACATGATAGTGGTGAGTTTGTTATCTCAATAATGATAGTCATCATCAGACTCACACAGTCAGCACAACATGTTATGTGATATGATTAACATGTTTATCGGTCTTGCTCCACACACCCTCTCAGTGGGACACTACCAGGGAAACCCCCTTACTGACGATAGCCGATCAACATGTCAACAACTATCGTGCTGCAATTTCATTGGTCAGTTGAGGGGGTTGTACCAGGGAAACCACCTAACAGTAGAATATATTGCAATACATTCACAGAGTGACGTCAGTTATAGTTCAGTACTAGTGTCTAATAACTGCTGGTGAATAGAGGAATCTGATTGGCCGGAAGGTTGCTAGTTCCGATAATCATAACCAAATATGGTAAGTCAGTTAGTTAATGAGATGCACCCTCCCTTGGCCAGCAAGGCTAGTATAAAATGCAATATAAAAAAAGAAAGCGAGGAGAGATTATTAGCAGTTTTAAGGATCAAAAATTCTGAAAACTATATTATCGCTTTCAAGAAGTCGTCAATCTTCAAAGGAAGGAGCTACAGTACTTTAAAGTCTCACTATGTCTGACGTAAGGCTTTGCTTATAGTGGCAGTTTAAGTATCATTGATAATGCTGCTTCTCTTCCTTAATCTCTCTGTAGAAATGCATTGTTAATGGTTGTAACACGTCGACTGACATGGTTAATGAAAGAGGCCCTTACTATGACTGTGAAATAAAACACAGATTCTGTCATAAGCATCGCAATTCAGAAGATTGTCCAGCACCTAAACACATTGGTCGTCATTATGCAAATAAAAATCCCCACTTGGATAATCCTTAGGGACATTTAAACCCCCTTCTTTAAACTGCTAATATTTCTCTCCTCTATCTGCCAATAACAACTCATGCATGATAAAATAGTTAACTAACGTATATTGTATTTCTATCATCTATTCACACACATGTACATGTAGTCTTTAGATAAAGTTTGTGATGGTTGCAAAAAGAAGGCAACAGTTAAAAGATGTCAAATATTCAATTGCAGATCCACTCATTATTTTTGTGAGCAATGCAGGAACAGTGAACTATGCCCATTGCATCCAAGAGACCACAGAAAAATATACTAACACACACACACACACACACACACACACACACACAATATCACTATACTTATCAATACATTGTATGTATGCATAGATTACTATTATAAATTTATTAGTATAATAACTTTTATTTAAAAATGCGACACTTTATTAGCAGCTAAAATGCAAAACAAAGATGCATACATGTACATGTACACAATGCAAGGAATAATAATTATAGCAAAAAATTTCAAGCATTTGATTCAAGTATCGCAGCATGCCTTTTAAATACTGCACCTGTACATCAGATACAGTGCATGTATGCATTAGCCTTGTTCACACCATGGATGCATCTTGTGAATAAATTATCATCAACATAATTAAAATTAAACTCAATAATAATAATCAATTATTATTGCAGCAATAAAAATATAATTTCTTCATTATACATGTATTATATCCATTCATTTTCATTGTCACTAAAGCAATAGTTATTAATTCTTATATTGTCTCCATGCCCTCTGTATAACAACAGCTGCATTCACACATTGTCTGATTCTGTTCACCCTCTCTCTGTGTCTCTTATGAGAGAGTGCATAATGTACATCACCTGGTACAACAGGCTCCTCCTTCTCCTCCCTCCTCTTAATGGATTGAACTGCTGGTACTACTGAAGGTCCTAGGGTTTGAGTTGAAACAAGTTGGTACTTTTTCGTTCCAAAACTCTCATTCCCAATCTTTGGCAGGGTATGGGATTGAGTCTGTGAGTCATGAGATTCCTATAGTAATGATACTGATAATTGTGGGGTGGGCGGGGCTACCAGAGCATACTTTATTTTGCTCAGCTAGAAGCTGTCGTTTTAGTGATAGTAACCTTTGTCTTGTTGCAGCCTCTTTCATTTCAAGCTGCTTCTCTAACTGTAACAATCTCAAAGGCTCCTGAATGAAAAAATCAAAGCAACAATAAAAATTTTACATAAACGGTCTACTCACTTCTTCCTGACTGGATGGAAAAGGATCTGAAGGTGTCACTTGTAAAGTTATTTTCTCTTTATTCGTAACGAGAGTACCGGGCCTCTTAATCCCGTGAGCTTCGGGTGATGTCTTAAGCATTCTAAAGCTACCATGACGATAGTTATTGTTAGCGTTATTACTAGTAGGGAGTCTTGAATGTGGAGGACTAGTGGTGGCATCTTTGGTGAAAATGTGCTCATGTTTTGTTTGATGGTGAGGAGGTGAAGTGGAGGAAGAGTCTTTCTCTTTCATTATTAACATCTCTTGATGTTGTTGATGGTGTGAGGGTTGGTGAGGGAATTCTATCTTGCTAGGCCTTGATACAGAGTTTAAATCACCACTATAAAAAAGAAAAAGGAGAAATAAAATTAATGTATAAGCTACATGTACATGTGTATGTACATGTATATTTAATCCTACAGTGCATATTGTGCTTCTAAAACTAACTTTAATTGATTTTCCGTTAGTTGAAGTTTCATACAAGCAATATCATTCTCAAGCTGCTTCCTTGCTACTTTAATCCTCTCCTTTCTCTTTGAGGAGAGCCGGCAACCAACAGCCTTAAGAGGAAGAGGACTGTCATCTCCAGAATGATTTTTCAATTCAAGGGAATCATTGCTATGGATACCGTTGCCACGGTCACTATCGCCATGGTCACCGTTGCTAAGGCTACTATCAGTGGAAGGTTTAGTATTTTTAGCTGCATTGCCATTGGGACTACTGTTGCTAGGGAACTTGTCCGGGTTGCTAGGGGCGAAGAGGTGTTCCACATGTCCATTAGTAATTGGTCCGGTCTTATTGCTATCAAAGTTGTTGATGTTCCTCTTATTTCTAACAGAATGAAGGACAACTTCTTTCATAATTGAGAGACACTCACGGAATTTAACAGGAGAGTTGATGCCTAAGGGGATAAAGGATGGAATGCTCGTTAATTAGAGTACTAGTCTCTCACCTGCTAACACAGGATCATCAATATTTCCATGAAGAAATTCATACAGTATCTTGTGACAGGAACTTTTATCTTTTGAAGTCAGAGGCAGCTAATAAGAATAATAAAATTAATTTGCAAACTCTCATTATCTCAGAGAAGTAACAATGAAAATGAAAATAAAACTGGCTTACTTCTGCTTGTTGTTCCTCCACAGGTTGATGTTGTTTTAAAGCTGATAGTTCCTCTTCTAACTCTTTCACTCTTTTCTTTAATTGTTTTATAACAGCTTTATCGTCAAGCTCTTCATTACGCCTACAAAGTACATGTATATCAAGTGACAAATGACAACCGTTCAAATCAAAATTGGATTTTTAAGTTCCTCAAGAAAAAGCAAAGGCTATACATGTACATGTTATAGCCCATGGTTTTTCTCAAAAGTGACTCCAAAAACAAACCCAATTTTTATTACATTTACTAATGCACATCGATGTCCTAAATACTATGTAAAAAGTTTGAGCTGATTCCGACAAATATTTTTGAAGTTCATTGAGCATTATAAAAACCCATGGCTTTTTCCATGAACAAAAATGCACATTTATGTATTGTACTATAGTTAATGGCCTTACTGACCAAATTTAAAGTTACCCACGTACTTGGCAATATTAGATATGCAGGCTACCCTCTGAGAGAATCTACAAGTTGATACAGTCTCATTAATATTCAGAGCATTAGGAGAGAGTGTAGCTATCATTGAAGTAAGACAGTTGCCTCCTAAACTATCTCTTAGCATCATAGTTAATAGTGAATTACGATATGGTACAAATCTACTACTGGGTCTTGAGTGAGTGGGTGACTGGGAGGAGAAGGAAGAAGAGTGCTTCTGTAAGCTAACAATGACATGCTCCAGCTGGTGAAGTGATGAGTTGATGTATTTTGCTTCTTGCAAGACAATGCCATCAGCACCAGTCTTGGCTACCCTCTCTGAGCCAGCCAAATCAACAAGATGGAGTTTTGACCTACATGTACAGTAAACATACATAAAGTCCAAAGATAAACGTGCAGTTAAAACTAATACACTTAAATTCTTTTACTTTTAAAATAACATTTCAAAAATACATGTACATTTATACATGTACATGTTACATGACTTACTTAGTTCGTATTTCTGATCCTAGCTCCTGAGCAGTGAGGGTGAGTGTGTATATGGAGTGAGATCGAGAGGAAGAAGTGTTCATTATTGTCTCTGCAACTTTACGACAAGTACAACCCTAAAGAGGGAAAATATTAATATACATATACATGTACATGTACATGTATAATCAAATTTTAAAATGATTAAAGACGTTTAAAATGCATGGTTGTACATGTATTAAAATTATAGGACATCTTACTTACTTCAAATAAAAGATTAATGGCCACTTGGTCTGTTGGAGCCAAATGGGTTGAGAGGTTTTTGAGCAGAACCTCACCACTGGGGCCCACAGTAATGTTAACCTGGAAATCAATAATTAAAAAGAAATAAAGTCATCATCATATCCATGTACATGTACTGTACATGTATGGGTTTCCTAAATGATCAAAGAAAATTAACAATTCTTAAACATAACTCTCTAATGTGACATTTTTAATGTAATTTTAGAGCAACTTTCAAAATTCATTAAAAATCTAATTTCAATCAGAATCACCTAAAACTTTCTACACAACATTGCATTATGCATATGTACATGTACATGTATCAGAAAATGTAATTCACTCCCTTATATTACCATATTACCTTAGGCAATACGGTATTGATTGTTATTCCTCTGTTTATTGGGTTCAGTAAATCATAAGCACTGTCCTGATATATCTCCATAAACGATACATGCATATTAATTTCCTCCCTCTCTCTCCTCTCCTCCAATCTCTTATACACGTCGGATATGATCCTCGGTGCCAACCCACGCTCATCATAACAGCGTGGGCTTCCTTCAATGGTGTAGGTCTTCCCGGAAGCTGTCTGTCCGTAAGCAAAAATGGTCCCGTTGTAGCCTTGAAGAAACTTCTCTACCATCTTCTCTCCGACAATCCGATAGACTTCTTCTTGAGTTGAGGACTGTGTGAAAACGTGTCTAAATGAGAATGAGTGTTCTCTGTATTGGGACACAGCATATCTTCCTGTTTCTTCTTTATCACCAAAGGACACGAATATCTTGTTCCCTTTTACAGAGAGTTTCTCGTATGGCTGAGAGTCAGGAGGACGGAGACGTGCAAATACTGCTATCTGTGACATCTTGGGGGAGAAGCGTGCTATGGTGTCTCCTTCTCTACCACCAAGCGCGGGAAATGTTTCCGGATACTAAGACAAGGAGAAGAGTCTCCATTGACAACAACAACAAAAACCTTTCCGTATCTTTTCCGTGTTTTCTGAAGTCACGCCTCTTTTCCCGCTAAAGATAACTATAAAATTAAAAATAGTAAATAAACCAGTGACGTAATATTGCATGTGTGACGTTGAACACCGCCCACATTTTGGTTTTAGTGCGCATGCGCAGTTGAGTGGTGAGGCACGTGGTCATTCTCTGTTGGAGAGGGAAGACTATGACAGAAATCCTGGGCCCCATTAAATCATTTACAGCATTCATTGACCTCACTGAAGGAGCCCAGGTGGAGAATTTTCCCTATTTAATTTAAAAATTTTATTTTTTAATTTTTAGATAGAGGAATTAAGGAAACTATTAATAGAAAATGGCCTAATAGAAGCAAATGAGGAAGAAGATGAGGAGAAGGAGCCTCTAGAAAGACTCATTTCTGTCATTAATTTAATGAGAAATGTTTTTGAAAAGCAAGACAAAACAATTCAAGGTGGGTGTGGCTGATTTGTTATTAGTTATATTTAATTAATTTTAATTATTGTGGGATTCTAATTATTAATTAATTTTGGAACTATTTTAATTAATTTTCTTTTTCTATATGCATTACAGAGCTGGAGAGTATATTATTGAGCATAGCTTCGCTGCTGCATATTGTCCCCAAGGAATCGAGTGCCAAGTTACTCAGTGACCTCTGTAGTACAGCTCTGGCTGGCACTACACCTAGCAATGCGAGACAGAGACTCAGACTGTGAGTTTATGTTATGGGAATGGAACACATGGTATGGGAATCGAATATTGATAGTTGTAAATGTTGAATGCTTAATTCGTTTTGTCTTGTGATGATGTAATTTGCGTCTGAAGTCAGGCGTGGGTGTGGTTGCCTGCCACGCCTTTAACACGCTTGCTCTTTTGCTGTAAATTCAAACAACTGAAGACTATGACATTCAAAGCATTTGTTAATTTTTTTTACATTAAACGCTGCTTTGTTATATTTAATAATATTATTTCTTTTAGGTTGGATTTGTTGTTCTACCAGTTTGATGTCAAGAGTCGAATGGCTTCGGTTGTGTTTTGGCACAAGCTAAAGATGAGCGTGCAGTATGGTTTAGGATCACAGCTAGTCATCGATATTGATAAGGTAATACTTAACATTGAAAGTTTTTGTTACACTAAACACACTTTTGCTGAACATAATTACTATCATTTTATGTACATGTAGTTAAAGAAATGGATGGTGAATTGGTCATTTAGTATAGATGAGAAGCAAAGAGCGTACAAGCTAGTTTGGGAGCTATATAAAACAACTGACAAGAAAAGGTATGTTGTTGACGGTTTGAATTTCTTGTTGTTGTAAACATATTATGGATTCTTTACAAAATTTGCCAATATTTACTCTTATTGCCTCCAAAAATTGACTTAGAAATTTTACTACATATTTATCATCTTTTTCCATGTTCAATGGCCATCTGAATTTTTTTTCATATTTAAAAATTTTATTTCTTTCTCCTTCAGTATTTCTTGTCGGGCTCTGACTGAACTTGTCTCCACTTATGATTCTGACAACGAAGAGAATATTTCCACTCTTGTTACTGAGCTGGTTGTCATGGCAATAAGTGACCCTGACAGATACATATTTAGTGACCTGTTGGACATTGAGGCAGTAAAGCTACAATACTCTGAAAAGATTTATCAAGTGAGACCCACGTTTTCCTTTAGCTATAAATAATGGGATTTTGTAGTTACTGGAAGTGTTCTCTTCGGGGATGTATGGCTCCTTCTTGAAATTCTGTGATGCTAATCCAGGCTATCTTGATCAACTTGGTAGGCATATATTAGTACATCTACTTTAGTCTTTCCTTTATTATTTCTAAGGTCTGGAGTATGAACATTGCAAGCACAAGATACAGGTATTGACCTTGCTCTCCCTCGCTGAAGGAGAATCAGAGATACCGTTTGCTTCATGCCTGACTGAGCTCCAGATTGACATCGACTCTTTTGAGCAACTAGTTATAGATGGTAAGTCAATTTAGTAAGGCTTTCCGTTAAGACTGAAAAGCTCAATTAGTTATTAATTAATGGTTAATACAATAATTATAAATAGTTATTGAGCATTATTGCACTTCTTTCTAGCTATTAGGTACAAATTATTAAGTGCAAGAATAGACCATGTTAACGAAAAGGTCATCATCACGTAAGTATTACTATTATTATTATGGTCGTGATTAAAGTGGGTGTGGTTTTGTTTCCATAGGAACTGTGTGAGAAGAACCTTTGGACTCAACGAGTGGAACCTCATCCATGACTCGCTTCTATCTTGGAAAAATAATATTTCTCATTTTCGTTCTAATTTGAAATCATTTCAGTTACTACCGGTAGGAGATCAGAAGACTTAGCAAGGACAGTTTCAGTTTTTGTGTGGTTCAGAGCGAATTATTATTATTATTATACAGTTCTTATTTCTTTCTCTTTCATGGCTTGCCATTATTATTATTATGATTATTATTGTAAATGTTTTATTCTTTTTCTTACTTTGTTTCCTTCACAAAAATATCTCTATTTGCTTTTAAAACGATCAAAGACACACTCATCCTGTTCCTGTGTAGGCTGCTGCTTGTTTATGGATTATCCTCTTAAGTAACTATCTTAAGTGATTTTGTGTTTGTCATTTGCTCTCTAAATGTTTGTTCAAGCAGTCTGTGCGTGTGTAGCATTCTTGGTTCATCGGTTGGTTTGTATTGTCTGTGTCAATTGTCAAACTAGGCTACTCATAGCAGCATAATCATAATACTGGTTTATGTACATTTGCAGGAATTGTTGATTTAACACGAAGTTTTGCATGTGTCCAAAACATTGTACACTTGAGGCTATCAACCTTGATACTGTTATGAGCTCCTTGGATAAATTGAATAAAGTTTGTTAATGTTTTAGTTGCTGTTTCAATTGTAAGTAAAAGACTCTATAGTAATAGTATTATATTAATAATAAAAGCATAGTGTCTATAATAAAATTTTACATGTTATAATATGCCATAATACATGTTCATATAAAAATTACTAATTAATTTTTATCATAATTACTATCAACAACTTAGTGTCTTTACTAATGTGTCATTGTATACTTGTAACCTTTGATTCGATTGGTCGCATATAAAAATGTGTCCCTCTCTGTCGACAGCAAGACTTGTTGGTGATACAAGACGTCCCTCTCCTTCCTCGTGCTGCCCCAGTGACACTATGAAGTCTCCAGATTGTGAATCAAATATAACAATCCTGCCATTACCTGTAGAGAGTTGTATATTAAAAGGAGAGAAAGTTTTAACATGTGAATATGATTTGTATTTCCTCTAAGAGCAAAGGTTATCACATCAATAAAATTCACTCTCTCTCTCATTCCCCTCTCTTCCTCCTTCCCTCCCTCTCTCTCTTACTTGTGTCAGATACATAAAGGTGCCCATCAGTGTCACACGCTATACCAAGAGGTCTACTCAATACCTGATCCAAGCCACAAACGCCATCACTAACAACTCTCCTCAGTTGCCAAAATGAGCGTTGAAACTTTTCCCCAGAGCTGAAGAGCAGAATACACTTATTGGCAACATCCGACACTAGGAGAGCACCATTCTCATTTCTTGTCACAGCAACTGGTTGCCCCGGTAGCTGCAGATGGGGGTACTTCTGATTTTTTGAGAAATCTGTGGAGAGGCTTCTTATTAGCTTGAGTTTTCCATCAAATACTTGAATTCGATGATTGAGAGAATCGCACACGAAAACCTCTTCATCGGTGGCCATTATACCAACTGGAGTGTTAAAATGAGCATCTTCTGTGCCTTTACTACCAGTCTGGTGGATTATGTCTCCCTCAGGACCAATGCTGGCAATGCAGTGATGCTCAGAGCTGCTAATATACACATCACCGGTAGCTTCCATGACATCCATGCCACTGATGTCTCCCAAAGGACACTTAATAACAGATAATATCATTCCTCTGCTATCTAGTGTTACTAGCCCAGATTTCTTGTCATACACAAACAGTATCCCAGACTCACTGTCAATGGATACACAAGCAGGGGATCTTAGCTGCTCCAATGAAGTGAAGGTCTTGTAATCGTGTGCCAGTGGAGATGCTGCTAGGATGTCAACGTAAAATGGGCTCCCTCTTATTTCGTTCTCGTCCACTGATACTCTAATCTCGGCTTTCCCATGTACCCTCGGGCAATAAGAGACAATGTATTTCCCTTTATTTTTATGTATCACCCGAGGCTTCTCTCTATAAGTGCCTTCCAGCCCCTCGATTGTGATTTTTATCTGGAGGTCGTGAGGCTGGAGTACCTGCTGATTATAAGCGTCGTTTAGCTGGACAGAGAAGTATGTCAGCCTCAGAGCATGAGGTGTGCATAGGCCAGGACCAAACGCAATGCAGTTATCAGGTTGAGCCGTCTTTATGTATATCCTCGCTTGCTCTCTAAGACTACTCTTCACGTCATCAGGATGAAGGAGCAGTGCCATGTTAGGCAGCTCACACGGAGTGAGTGATACTTGCCTCCTGATTATGGCTACTTTTGCTTTTGGAGAAGTTCCTACAGAATCAGACAAAACCTTGGTAAACTCTTTCTTCATTTCTTTTGCTTTCTCAATCAGTAGATTCATAAGTGACATGAGAGAAGTCTCATCTGGCATGTCTGCCGATTGCGAGAGGAGCTTAGAAAGGCGATCGGCTTTCTCTATTAACTGTGATACTTGGTGTGCCTGTCTCTGGAGCAGCCCTCGCTTTGACTGTGATACGGACTGCAACTGATTTGTGAGGTTCTTTTCACAAAAGTCTAATTCTTTCTTAAGACGTACAAAACGGCTCTTTATCTCCCCGTCGATAAATTCCTCCTGCCGCTCTATGCTCTGTCTCACCTCTTCCAGCGGTTTCAGAGATGAGAGGAGAAGGTCCCGTACTTGGAGTATATCCAATAACTCTATCTGTATCATTTTCTGTGCATCCTGTACAGGGTCTCCTGTCTGTATGAGGTTGTGGTCACTGTGTGTGTTATCGTCTTTAACACAATCATTGCAAAGCCCAGCACTGCACGTCTGACAGAAATACGTATACTGGAGGCCATGAAGAGTGCAAAGAGAAGTCGCTACTAGCGTGCTTCGTCTTGATTTTCGATTCCGAACAGATTCTGGGGCAACGGCAGCTGGGAACTCGGTAACCAGGTCTAATATGTGGTCCTTTAGTTCTGGCCTGTGGTAGTGGGGAAGGGAGCAGCTGTGACATATAAATTGCTGTCCTTCTCGACAGTCTACGCATATGTACAAGGCCGGCTCTTTCAGGCATACCTCACAGCGGGTTTCTATTCTAGTGGTCCGGCGGAGTAGCTGGAGGTTGCGAGTGTGGAATTTAGCTAGTGTGAAGGAGGGGAGCTTCTCGATTTCTCTGATGATAAGGGTTTCCGAGCATTGGGGGCATTTGTATCTGGGCTCGCTGGCCTTAAGCTTCATTCCCTCAATGCAACACTTGCAATAAATGTGTAGGCACTCTAGGATGCGAGGATCATCTAAAACCCCCTGACAGAAGAGGCAAGTGACTTCTCTTTTCAACTGCGTCTCCACACTACCATTACCTGCCATTGCTATGCTGCACGAAGCAGTCACTCCCACCCGATACCGTTTTGTTCTTGTTGAACGAACCCATAAACAAACGCGTGGGCGTTTAAAAAATTTTGATGTGAACTACCGTATTGTATCAAATTTTGTTAATTAGAAAAGACGCCTACGTAGAGACACGTGCCAACGGTGCCATAAGGTTGGGAACATTACTACACTTCTTCTTTCACTCGATACATACACTCCCTCGTCTCCTTCATTTGAGCAACAAGAAAGCAAAGAGGATAAGGAGGGCCTTATGGACGTCCAGAGGATAGCCCAAGCTTTTGCCAATACGCTAGATCCTTCCACAAGAGCTGAAGCTGAGACTGAGCTTGAACAGGTCTGACATTGTATAAATATTGACTTTAGTATTGTTGTTACAACACAGGCACTCCAGTCACCAGGCTTTACGCCATGTCTCCTGCAGATTGTGATGAATAACGAAACACCATTCGGGATAAGACAGTCTGGTAATGACAATTATTACCTTTAAAAATGTACATGTACATGAAACATTAAATTATTGTTTATTTTCAAAATAATAATTCATTTCAGATGTACTCACACAATGATTGATGTATCCTTATGTTAATGACCTTTACTTTTCTGATTTTATTCTTGTATATACGTACATGTACATGTACATGTACATACATGTACATCTAATTCTCAATTATTCCAATTACATGTAATTTTTACATTTCATAGCGTCCATTTATTTAAAGAACACTGTCAATAAGTATTGGAAGGTTAGAGATGGCGAGGATGGTGACCCAGAGCAGCCCTATACCATTCCAGAGGAGAGCAAGATGATACTCCGTCAGAATATCGTTGAAGGAATCATTCAAACACCACCTTTGATGAGGTATATCAAATCGATTTTTCTAATTAAAAAATGTTATAATTATATAATTATAATAATTTGTGACCATAATTGACAAAAGGTACCTTATGGCGGATAGAAAAATTGGTCTTTATAGCCTAAAAAATCCAACTTCCTGAGCTTCATTTATCATAAAATTACTCCAGAGGATGCAAAAAGTTACTATGTAGCTTAAAGAAACAATTGTTGACTAACAGGGCACTCACAGGTTGATATTTTTTATTAAAAAGATAAATTTTAAAATCCGCCATAAGGTACCTTTTGTCAGTTATGGTCACATTTTTATAAATATACATGTACTTATTTCAACGTTCTCTCTCTCTCCTCTCTCCCCCTCTCTCTCTCTTCTAGTAAGCAGCTGTGTGTGTGTTTAGAGACTATTGTTAGACAGGATAACTGGAATGACATTGCTCAGAAGATTCACAGTTTCCTTTCCTCCGACAACCAACAGACCTGGCCAGGAGCCCTTCTCTCCCTCTACCAACTGAGCAAGAAATACAAGTAAAATTTCTCCTTGTACATGTGTACATTTTTTGTTAAGAATATTTATTTTTGCCCACTTAACATGTAACTATTATTTGTATGTGTATACTTCTTTTCTCCTTTTCTCTCTCTATTTTTTTATTTCTAAATGTACATGTACGATACATGTGCGTTACATTTTAGTGATTTCACTATGTTTTATTAGATATAAAAAGGCTGAAGACAAAATTAATTATGTTACAATCATGAAGACACTCCTCCCGATGCTCTACAATCGTATGATCGATGTTCTTCCACATCCGACAGAGTTCTACGTCATGATACAACATTGGATATTAAAGATATTTTACTGCACTATACATGTAAGCATTTGGAAGATTAGAATGATTTAAAAAATAATTTGTAAATGTAATTTTAAAACTACATGTACATGTATGCGAATTTATTACATGTATTTATACTTTGCCTGTTGTAAGCTACATGTACAATCTTTTATTTTGTTTTTTATACTTTTCCTGTTGTTTTTTTTTGTCCAGTATCAGTTGCCATTCCAGTTAATAGACGAGAGCACACTGCCTGGTTGGATGATTGTAATTCAAACTATCATTGATAGGCCAGTACCACAAGTAATCACTTGATATTATGCATGTATTTACATATACATGTATATACTGTACATGTACATGTACATGTATATATTAATTTTAGCTCTTTTTTTATGTACATTGTATTGGGAATTTGTCCATTTCTTATTAATTTTTATGATCATTGAATTTCAGTTTAGATTATTAACATTTCACAGATTCATCTATAAATTTGCTAAAATTAGTACTCACAATTTACATGAGCAAATTCCCATCCACCCACGAATATTTAGTGACTAATTATTAATAATGAATTGACCCACCTCTGTTTAATTAATAGTTACTTTTATTTTAAATTCATTATTGATAGACACAAAAATTGACTTAATTTTTTAGGAGTATGAGAAAGAAGACGAAGAGGAAAGACATGAAACTGAATGGTGGAAATGCAAGAAATGGTGCCTACACATCCTCTGCAGTTTGTTTGAAAGGTCCTGCCATTATTAATGAAGATTTGTGTGACGTACATGCACGTGATTTTACATGTACTGTAGGTTTGGTAGTCCTGGTAATGTTGAAGCCTCTTATAACACTTTTGCTGATTACTACATGAAGACATTCAACTGTTCTACAAGTGAGAGAGAGAGAGAGAGAGGGAGGGAGGGAGGGAGGGAGGGAGAGAGGGAGGGAGGGAGGGAGAGAGGGAGGGAGGGAGGGAGGGAGAGAGGGAGGGAGGGAGGGAGAGAGAGAGGGAGGGAGGGAGAGAGGGAGAGGGATTGAATTCACTTCAAAAGAAATGCATGTTTAATAATATTAATAATGTCAATAATATTCACTATTCCTCTATCAGCTGGCGTCATTAATACATTATTGAAGCAGCTGGAAAAGCATCGCACTGGTGTATTTTTAACTGCCAGACTCAAACAACTTATCTTTAACTACTTGAATGAAGCGTAAGTCAATTACACTTTACTATTTTTATTGCTTCGCTCTCTCCCTCTGTCTTTCTTAGGATTAACCATGCCTCCTCGTGGAAGCTCATTAGGCCTCATTTTGACGGGATATTTATTGATATCATATTCCCTCTGTTGTGCTATAGCAATGAGGATGACCAGCTCTGGCATGATGATCCTTATGAATATATTAGAATGAAATTTGGTATACATGAAGCTACATACATGTGCATGCAATGTACTTTTTATACATGTACATTGTACATATACATGTACATGTATGCATGTTCTTATGCTGAATGAAAATTTTGAGCTTCATGATTCCAATGAAAATTGGTTTTTTACACATTTTTAAAATTGTGCCAAAGCCCCTGTACTACAGTACAGGGGCTTTGACCAAATTCCGCCAAAAATGTCTAGAAGAGAATTCTCCATTTTTATGTTTTTTCTTTTCCTGATACATATGCATGTTCATATATTGTGTAGGAAGTTTAAGCTGACTCCAATAAAAATTAGATTTTTATGATTAATTTTTTAAAAGTTACTCAAAAATCAGGCCAAAGTCCCTGTACTATAGTACAGGGTCTTTGGCCAAATTTTACCAAAAATGACTAGGAGAGAATTTTTCATATTTATTATGTTTTCTGGTACATATACACGTTCTTATGTGCTATAGTACAGGGTCTTTGGCCAAATTTTACCAAAAATGACTAGGAGAGAATTTTTCATATTTATTATGTTTTCTGGTACATATACACGTTCTTATGTTGTGTAGCAAGTTTGAGTTGATTCCGACAGAAATTGGATTTTTTAATGAATTTTTAAAGTTGCTCCAAAATCAGGCAAAAGTCCCTGTACTATAGTACAGGGTCTTTGGCCAAATTTTGCCAAAAATGACTAGGAGAGAATTCTTCATTTTTATTATGTTTTCCGGTACATATACATGTTCTTATGTTGTGTAGCAAGTTTGAATCGATTCCGACAGAAATTGGATTTTTTATGAATTTTTAAAGTCGCTCCAAAATCGGACCAAAGTCCCTGTACTATACAGGGTCTTTAGCCAAATTTTGCCAAAAATGACTAGGAGAAAATTCTCCATTTTTATTATGTTTTCTGGTACATATACATGTTCTGATGTTGTGTAGCAAGTTTAAGTCGATTCTGACAGAAATTGGATTTTTTATGAATTTTTAAAGTTGCTCCAAAATCGGACCAAAGTCCCTGTACTATAGTACAGGGTCTTTGGCCAAATTTTGCCAAAAATGACTAAGAAAGAATTCTTTATTTTAATAATTTTTTCTGATACACGTTCTTATGTTGTGTAGCAAGTTTGAGCTGATTCCGATCAAGATTAGATTTTTTAATGAATTTTTCAAGTTGTTCCAAAATTGAACAATAGTTTGATCCTGTACTATATAGTGCAGAAACTTTAGCCAGGTTTTGCCAAAAACATTATTATAATTTTTTTGATATATATGTACATCAAGAGTAGATAATATTGATGTACATGTACATGTTGTTATGATTGTTGTGTAGCAAATTTCAATTAGATTTGTTTTTCATGATGTGCTCACTATGGGGAACCCTGGTAGTGTTACTGTATAATTGTATGTGATAGAAAATTTCATTGACTACCCAAGCAGGCCTTACGAGATATTTTTGCTGAATTTATTTTCATTGATCAACATCAATTATTGTATTATTATTATTATTATTATTATTATTATTATTATTATTATTATTATTTACCCACTTGGCTTAAATTTTCATTGTCTAAAAATTTCATTTAACATCTTGCCCACAAAAAATTAGCACTAAACAAAATTTAATTATGATATTTTGCATCTTAGATATTTTTGAGGATCTTGTATCTCCAGTTGTTGCTGTTCAGGTGTTTCTCTCTGAAGCCTGTCATAAGAGGAAGAACATTCTAGACCCAGTGATGGGGTATTGTATCCAGATATTGAATGAACCAGCTGAGAAGAGAGACCCCAGGAAGAAGGACGGAGCCTTAAACGTAATAGGAACGACAGCTGAAGTATTGATGAAGGTAAGGTATTATTATTATTATTATTATTATTATGAAAAGAACAGTACTTAATAAAATTAGGAGAAATGAATAAATGAATGATGAATACGAAATGATATTACATACATGTACATGTACTACTGAAAATATAAGTGACATGCTGCATTAAAAAAAAAACAGAACAAAAAACACAAAAAGAAAAGAACAATAATTACAAACAGACACACACACACACAAAAAAAGAAAAACGAAACTAAGTCTGCATGAAAGATGCACAGAAAATATTTATTTTGATATTTATTTTGATTTTTATTTCCAACCCAATTATTGTCTAGCATGTACATGTACATGTACATGTACATGTATTATTATTATTTTTTTTTATAGAAAAAGACATACAAGGCCCAATTGGAGCCAATGCTAGTTGCTCACGTCTTCCCTGAGTTTAGTAGTCCTTTTGGTTACATGAGAGCCAGGGCTTGCTGGATGATACAATACTTCTCTGAAATATCCTTCACTGAAGAAAGCCACTTACAATATGCACTCCAACAGGTGAGGAGAGGAAAGGGAGGAGAAATGGGAGGGGCTTGTACTCATTAGCTCCGCCCAGTGCCTAATTAGTTAATTGATTAATTAGAATTTAATTAATTATTTAGGTGTTAAGTTGTTTGACCCAAGATCAGGAGTTACCAGTTAAAGTTGAGGCGGCAGTAGCTCTTCAGAGCCTCATAAAGAATCAAGAACTAGCAGAACAAGTTATCAAGCCTTTTGTGAAACCAATTATTACTGGTGTGTACAGTACATGTACATGTACATGTATACGAAATAATATACATGTAGATTAAATGTTAAAGACTGGTATGTGATCACCATATAGGGAGTACATTTTCCTGGAAAAATATTTCACAAAAATCACCTTTAACTTATTCACAAGAAAATTTTTTTGTATTTTTTACTGACCACTATAAATATGATTAAAAAATAATTTTCATAGATAAGATTTTCACGAATTTTTTAAAAAAATTGCAAAATTATTAAACTACATTGTAAATCCCCATGAAATATACATGTACATGCACTCCCTATGCAGTATTAATTTTTATTATTCTGTACATGCTTGAAATTTACATGTACATGTATGTATTTCCTTTAGAGCTCCTTCAAGTTATTAAGAACACTGATAATGATGACCTCACTGAAGTATTGCAGGAGATCATAGAGACGTATGACGACTGCATTATTGATATTGCAGTTGAGCTCTGCTCCAACCTTGTAAGTCAGATTAGTTTTGGAGCCATTTTGGACAGAATACCCTATTTGACAAAATTTTGAGCTTTTACTTTTAAGATTCATAATTTTTTACTCAGCATAAAACATGAAAAAAATTATTAAAATAGAGAATTTTTTTCTGGTCATTTTTGGTAAAATTTTGCCGAAGACCCTGTACTACATATTGTACATAAACATGTACATGTACATGTACGTGTATAGTCCTTTTATTCTTCACCTCTTTTGTCCTTCTCTCAAGGTGACAGCATTCACTGAGTTGCTAGAGTCCAGTGGAGGAGAGGAGGAGGATGGCTATAAGGCACTCACTGCCCTCGGTCTCATATCAGCTGTACAGTCACTAGTGAAGTCCGCCTTTTCCAAGCCGGAGCTCTTAAAACAAATGGAAACAGTTTTAATAGGAACAATAGCATCAATATTTCAAAATGGAATTATGGGTAAGCAGTAAGGACTTGTACTGTACATGTACATGTACATACTGTAGCTCAGAAATTCAAACTTCATGGTTACACCTATAATCATAATGGCATCTCTCTCTCCCTCTCTCTCTCTCTCTCTCTCTCTCTCTCTCTCTCTCTCTCTCCCTCTCTCTTTCCTCAGATTATTATGAGGAGATGTTAACTCTCCTTGATCTTTTTACTTGCGAGTCAGTTTCTCCTATAATGTGGCAGGTCCTCGGTCTTATTTATGAAGCATTCACTAGAGATGGTTTTGACTATTTTTCAGGTGAGGGAAACCTTAATTCACCATCCTCTCATGAAATCACTTTATCACATGTACATGTACATGTACATTTTCCCTCTTATTATAGAAATGATGGGCGTTATATATAATTTTATAAGAGTCGACCCAGACAATTTTATCTCGAACCAAAGGCACATTGAAATAGTTATCTCAATGGCAAAAACAGTAAGTCAGGCCAGCCCTTTGTTGGTTTCTAATTAATGCCCACCCAAGGTCCTAACAAAAGAGTCTGGCGAAGAACCCCAGACGTCTGCTTGTAAATTATTAGAAGTTTTATTACTTGAATGTAGAGGAAAGATAGATCAAGTGAGTTCGGGGGAGGGTTTAAATCACTCACTAACCCTGCCTACTTTTTATACAGTTTATTCCCAATATATTGGAGTGCCCCCTCGAAAGATTAACTAAAAAGATTCAGGACCCAGATCTTCGATATGCATGTATTTTAGTGGTAAGTACATGTACATGTACATGTTTTAATAATCACACATTCTTTGCATGTTTACTTTTTGTGTTAAGTTTGTTTGTTAAACAATGTGGTTTCAATTCAGTCGTTTGATCTCAAATCGTTTATTCTTAAATGGTTTATTTTGTTTAATTGGGGATCAAGTGCCTACCATTACATGATCATCATTAATTGATGCATCACTACATGTACTGTACATGTACATGTAAAAAAAACATCTAAAATTTATTGCTAGGTTGTTGCTGGCATTTACTCAAACTGTGCTTTGGTATTGGAGTTGCTTGAGAAGACAAGATTCCCCAACTCTCAGGAGCCCATTACAGCCCAGTTCTTCACACAGTGGCTCACCGACTGCAAGAATTTTGAAGGGTAAGCACAATAGTACATTTTGTACATTAAGGTTCTGCCGAGAAAAAATAGAGGTGGTTGGAGACTATTGCTCCTTTTAAATTTATGTACACCACACTAGTAGACTACAATATCATGCTTTATGTATGGTTATTAGTATTAATTGGATGGTTGGTCTAAGTGATGAACTGGTTAGCTCATTTGTTGAGGTGGTTGTCCCGACCACCCACCCCCCGACCACCGTAGGCAGAACTACACATGTATGGTGCTTGTACATGTACATGTACATGTAGTAGTCCAGATGGGGTCAATTACAATGAGAAATACAATGTACATGTACATGTACATGTAGTAGTCCAGATGGGGTCAATTACAATAAGAAATACAATGTACATGTACATGTACAGTAATATCATTACTACAGTATGTACCCAGAAAGAAAAATTACTATTACAATTACAATGTACATGTTCTGTACATGTACATGTAGTTGTCTAATACTATTACAGTTACTATACATTTGGTTTTTCTAATTCCTCTGTTATTATATTACTATTAGTTACAATTACATGTACATCTTTGCTATAAGATGTAATTATTATTACAATTACATGTACATCAATTATATTACAATTGTATTATAATTATATTATTTGCTTATATTATACTCTGACACGTACAATGTATCTACAGTACATTACCCCATGTCTGATATGTACTGTACTACATCTACAATGTACATGTACATGTACATAATTATTATTTGGTATAATTGAATTGCGAATATGAATTTTACTATAAATAATTTTAGCGAAATCTCTACTGCTATACTTGTAGGAGTACATGTACATACAAGTGTAGTTCTTGAGATTTCCTTCTCAAATTCCTTTCCTTATCTTTCTATTTCCTTGATTGTACATGTATCTTCAATTTCCCTATATACAGTACATGAGTCATGAGACAGGATTCTTTTCTTTATAAATTCCTTTTCCTTATCTAGTTTATTTTCTTGCTTGTATCTTCAATGAATCTACTGTACTTGTACAGCTGTACATTATAATGTATGTTTATCTTCATTGTGAATCAAAGGAGTCCTTTCACTCTCTTCCTCCTCTCTGATGTTGTGAAATAAAGTCTTCAATTATTCTTTCTATACACGTATCTGTTTACCTTGTAACACATACATGTAAACAGAGTGTAGTATAGGGACTGTTTCTCACTTATTTACTTTCATGTGTTGGATTTCCAATCTAAGTCATGTCTTCACACTGCATATTGATAGTATTAGGAAAGTGAAGCCCAACTTCTTGCCAAACTTTATGAAAATATACCCGTGAACAATAACAATCTCATTTGATTTGTACACATACACAAACACATGTACATCACGTACATATATGTATTTCACGTACATATATGTATTCCATTAATGAGTACATAATTATTTGCTTAGTAGCAGACATGAAATGATTCTCTGGTTCAGACAAAATGACTTCTTTATCAATGGGAGAGAAATCTAATCATAATCTCTCATCAGATACTTGTTATTGTTCAAAGGATGTGGCTGTCTATGTTTATGTAGTTTTGCTAAACATACATGTACTTGTACATGCCTTGTAGTAGGGACAGCCATACAACATTGAGTTATGATGTTTTCTGGTTATGGGCCATATCTTATGTGATGCATTAAATTTTGTGGTTTCAGCCTACAAATTAAACATTATGTGTACACATGTACATGTACATGTAAATGTACATTTTATGTTGAGGAAACTACTGTATTCTTATTACTTGTACTGGTCCTATTCCTCCCTTATTATGAATGATACATTCTTGAGAGATTATTGGCACTAGCATATTGTTTGTTGTAGTAGCACCTGTATGTATAACACTGGAATTATGTAATGTTTTCTAATTATGGCTCATAATCTTATTGATGGATTGAATTTTGTGTTTTAAACCAATAGTCTCAACATTTGTGTACTTATGTACACGTTTAGGAAATTACTGTATTTCTTTTTAATTATATTTACCGACTCCTCCCTCATTCTGACACTATCTGGACGGATTATTGGCGCTATGATATTATACATGTATATCGACTGTATGTCTTTTGGCAACTACAATTGTACCAATATATACATAGCCCACCTGTCTTGTGTCTTTTTACCTTGTTACATACATTTTAAGTATTTTTATTTGATAATTTGTTTTGCTTGGTGTCAGATGTTATGATTGGTTCGTCGTTTATTTTTGGAGTTACTGTGGATAAGTGCAGCTGTTGTTCTTTATAGTTACAATTGTTTACCTACATAGCTTTGTCCACATGTGTCAACAGTCAGTAGTCTAAATAGACTACTATTCAGTCTAACTATTCAGAGAGCTGAATAGTTAGAATTTTGAACATAAAATACAACGTATAATCTTGAAAAACAAATTAGTTTAAAAATTATTAGAAATAACATTTTATTTAGTTCCTAAAAGCCACGGCTTGATCTTCGAGGTAGTGCTAATGCTTATTCTAAAGTAAAGGGAATCGTCTTTAAGATACTCTGTGTTTCCATTGTACGTGAGCTCAGACTGGGAGAGGAAACCAGACTTACCCCAACCTGTCCCATTCATCACGTCTACCACTCTCTGCCGATATTTCATGGGCGTGTCTCCGTTGAACTTGAGCACCTGTTTGGCATGACTCTTGTCTCTGATTTGATTCAGTAGTTCTATTGTCACTTCTCCTTCGAAAGGCCAGTCCAACAGCTCGTCATGGCTACCCTTCATCAGGCATATATAGCACGAGATGTGAGTGTCCTCGTGTCTCCCAATTCCGTGACAGGCTACACTTAGTTGCATTTTATAACCTTCTGGTTGGTGGGATCGGAATGGAGTGCTCTGCCACATTTTCTTGCTGTTCTTGTAGGCGCTGTAAGGGCTTAGTCTTAGGACTAGTTTTTGCGTCGTGTTGGATATTGGCCGGGCCCATAGCTCCTCCTGTTGTGTGTCCAGCTGGTGTATTTTAAAAGTTAGTTCTTCAATGTCAGTCTGGAGTGATTGTACTTGTGTCATGGCTAGATCGAGATGTGATACCATTTCTGATTGATTGTGGTGAGTTATTTTCTCCCGAGGGATTTTCTTTCTGCAGCCAGCTGCTGAGTACGTGCACGGGACCATTTCTTTTGGGCACTCCTCAACGTGTACACTCATTTCTCTACGTATCACTATCTCTTGGCATTCTTTATTGTGACATGGTACTGGTATTTCTGGACATTCATCAATGTGTCTGCTCCCTGTGATTATATTGTGCCTGTCTCTCAATGAGCAGTACTGACATATTGCTTCTCTGTGTGGGCATGTATCATTTATGTGTCCATCTAAAGTATGTGGATATACTATCTCAGTACAGCCATTAGGACACTCCACCAACTGATGCTTGCAGGCTGACATGTGTCCATCTACGTCTCTCACTTTCCCTCTCCACTCACAGCCTCTCTCCTGATACTGGCAATACACTCTTAGCTCTAGAACCTTCTTCTCGTTGTGAGTGTCCTTAAAATAATTCCTATTCAAGTTCGACTCGCACAATGGACAAAGGAAGTCCTTTTCACTGACTCTTAGCTTGTGTAGGCATGTTTTGCACATGATCAATCCACAGCATGTGACCTGGTAAGGTTCTCTGAAGAGTAGGGAGCACTGCTGACAGACAAAGTCATTATGATTCTGTCCATCGACAGGGGTGAGGTTGTAGCCTCCTTCTTTGGTGGCTTGTGGTTGGGGGTCCTCGTTCTTGCTGGCTGGTGGGTTACTTGTTTCTTCAGCCATTTTGTCTTTTGTGAATTGGCACACCTTTATCAGTGGTTGATTGTTTTCATAGTATTATATATACTTAGATGCCATGGGGAATCAAACAGAGAGACTAAAGCTACATGTATGTGTATTGTCATTATTGACAGTCTCCTCTCTCTCTCCCTATTGTTTGTATGATTTAGTTATAATTATAGACAATAAAAACTGTAAAGTTTCTTTCTTATATTAATACAATAAAACATATACTGTGCATGTGCATATGCTTGGCTGTTTGTTCAGGAACTGAATGTTTTTGTATTTATTAAAGTCAACAGTAAACTCAGGTGTTTATTTATACGTCGTGTTATGTACATCTTTCCTTGCTTCTGAGACATCACATGTTACATAACTAGCCATGGCCTGGTTTTTGAGGTAACCTTCACACTTACTCTAAAGTACAGAGAGTCATCTTTGAGATACTGACAGTCCTGAGTTGGTTTCAGGCCCAGCTCAGAGTGTGGTATAAATTCCTGTAGCCCTCCACCTCTCCCAATCTCTTTCCCTCTAACTCTTTGCCTGTATTGCACCGGAGTTCCTTCACTGAATCGGAGTAGCTCCTTCTCGTGACACTTATCCTCCATCTGATTCAATAGCTCAAGGCTCACTTCACCTTTGAAGGGCCACTCCAGTGTATCGTCGTAGTCTCCCGAGAGAAGATGCACAAAGCATGATATGTAGTGATTAGCTGCTCCTCCGTTTCCATTGCAGAATACACTTAGGCACATTTTGTATCCTCCTGGTGACGAGTAGAAGGCTGGGCTGTACCAAACTGTCTTCTCTTCTTTGTGTTTTGTGTACTCGTCAAGTTTCATAATTTTATGACTGTTTACTTTGGTTGACAGTGTCTCGTTGCTCCTTCCAAACTCTTCGATTTGTTTCATTGCTATGTCTAGATGAAGTTTCAGTCTATCTTTATTGTGTGACTCCAGATCCTCTCTCTTTACTGTCTCTGAGCAGCCGGCCTTAGCATAAGTGCATGGGACCATTTCTTTTGGGCACTCCTCAACGTGTGCACTCATTTCTCTACGTATCACTATCTCTTGGCATTCTTTATTGTGACATGGTACTGGTATTTCTGGACATTCATCAATGTGTCTGCTCCCTGTGATTATATTGTGCCTGTCTCTCAATGAGCAGTACTGACATATTGCTTCTCTGTGTGGGCATGTATCCTTCATGTGTCCATCTAAAGTGTGTGGATATACTATCTCAGTACAGCCATTAGGACACTCCACCAACTGGTGCTTGCAGGCTGACATGTGTCCATCTACGTCTCTCACTTTCCCTCTCCACTCACAGCCTCCTCTCTTGTGACTGCAGTACACCACCAGCTCTTTTATTCTCTTGTCCATTTCTTTATCAAAGCTGCTCTGAGTTATCTTTTGGCTCCTGCAGTTAGGACAGGTTGGGCGGGAGTGATGCTCCTTGAGTGTGTTTAGACATTGTGAACAGAAGCTCTTCCCACAGCAACTTGTCTTGACTGGCTCTCGTGGCACTAGCATACAAATTGAGCAGTGTTGATCGAAAGGAGAGATGAACTGATAGTCATAGCCTCCTATAAACTGCCTGTTGTTCTTGGCACTGCTGCTTTTGGCTGCCATACTCTATGTTAAATACTTTGGATAGCTCTCTTGCATACACTGTTCAGAAATGATAAATGATTCATGTATATATATATATATATATGCACTAGTAGTGGGTGGTGACTTACCTTAACTCCTAAGCACATGCAAGTAGGTATGACTGCTATTGGCTAGAGTGCAGAGTATGAGAGGAAGAGATGACAGCTCTGTTGATGCAATCAATGGGCAGGGCTACTCATGATTATGCTAGTATTTGTTAACCAATTAGTCTTTGCCTTGTATGCCTCATAAATTGCTGGAGAGCTGATAATGAATGTCATAATCTAATTTTAGAAATTCATTAATCTGATTAGTAGTTCAAAGTTAGTGTGAAGATTGTTTTATTAATCTTTTAATGAATAAACTGGCACACCCACTCACAATTCAATAGTTAGAGTAGGTACACGCATCAGACTTCTCTGCCATCTGTACATTAGTATCTTGTGATCCTCAACAAGTTACCTGCTGCTACAATATCTTCTGTAGAGCAATTTTGACTATTAGTGAAGCAACTCAAATGTCCTCTTTGTCAAGAAGACTTGATGAGAAGTTGTTCCAAAATTTGACAAAACATGCACCCAGTATATAGTACAGGATGTTTGTCAGAAATGCCTAGGAAAGATTCTCCATTTTTATGATAAATAAACATGTTCTTATGTTGTGTAGAAGGTTTGAGCTGATTACGATCAAAATTGAATTTTTTTATAAATTTTTTAAAGTTGCATAAAGGAGACAAAGTACATGGTCTCAGGCCAAATTTTGCTAAAATTGAAAAAGAGAGAATTTGCCATTTTTGTAATGTCTTTTAATTCATATACATGTAATTATGTTGTGTGGAAAGTTTGAGCTGATTCCAATCAAAATTGAATTATTTACAAATTTTCTAAAGTTGCTCCAAAATCAGGCCAAGGTCCCTGTACTATAGTACAGGTTCTTTGACTAAATTTTGCCAAAAATGACTAGGAGAGAATTCCCCATTTTTATAGTGTTTTCTGATACATATATATGTTCTTATGTTGTGTAGAAAGTATGAGCTGATTGTGATGAAAATTAAATTTTTTATGAATTTTAAAAGTGTTGCCTGTTGTAATGCATGCATTCATATCACAAGGCCCAGATGATAATTAAGACAGTAGTCCCCCCTTTTAGAGACTACCCCTGTTTCAGGAAGTGTTTTTTGTATGATCAGCTTAGAAATAATAACTTGATTGACTCCAATGCATGATTGACTCTTTTTCTGCTCAAGTTAATGAAATTCATTGTCTGAATTTCATTCTGGTTATGTAATATTACCTGCTGTCATAGCAACCTCTCAGAACAAATAAACATCAATGTCACTTCTGGACAGCCCACTAATGGAGGAGCCAGCCCCTTGTACTACTTGTACAGGGGACATCACTCCTCACTTTCCTGAAGGATGTCCCAAGAGAGAGTATGAGTGCCTTCACTGCAGCTATAAGGACACGTACGAAGAAATAATAGGAACACACCAGTCAGAGTGTCCCCAGTTAATAATAGCATGCAATAATGACGGATGCAATGAGAAGATAACGCGAATATCCATGATGGAGCACCTTGGAGTCTGCCCAAAGGCTATCATTGAATGCCAGTACTCTATAGTTGGGTGTCGTAAGAAATTCAAGAGGGAAGAGGTCACCCGTCACGAGACTGAACACATGAGCAGACACTTAAAACTAGCAGTGAAGAGTATCAAAGAGATGAGAGAGAGGCCCCCACAGTGTTTGACACTGAAAGAGGGAGAGTTGGCCAGCTATGTGTTCAGACTCAAGGAATTCTCTGAGCTTAAACAAAAGGGAAAGCACTGGATGAGCCCAACTTTCTACACATCAATAGGAGGGTATAAAATGGTACTGGTTGTATTCCCAAATGGTTATAAAGAGGATGAGGGCTGTCAAGTATCTTGTTTCATTTGCTTACTGGCTGGAGAGTATGACTTTCAACTCCAGTGGCCAATGAAAGGTGAAGTTACCATTGAGCTACTCAATCAGCTTGAAGACAAGAATCACACCAAAGCAGTCCTAACCATCACTGAAGATAATGATTTCTTTCCAGTTGAGGATGAGGAGATATTGAATATAGAAGAGGATGTCCCGGGGGTTGGTCATTCTAATATGATTGAGCACTATCAGTTGGAATATGATTCAGAGCTCAATGTGGCATATCTCAAAGATGATTGTCTTTACTTTCGTGTCAGTGTTACAAAACTGGAAAATACTGCAACCAAGCCTTGGCTAATAACTACTCAATAAAATTTGCTGCAACATGATCCCTTTATTTTGTATTTTGCATGTACTTAGTAATAGTTCTAACCTATCTTTATTCTTTATTACAGTTGTATTGTAACTTTTTTGATGATTGAATAATGATTAATAAAATGACACCAATACATGATTTAAACAAAATCTAACTGTGAAAGTGATTAAATTGTTCCTTTTATTGAATGTTTTATTGCGGAACTAGCCACGGCCTTGCCTTTTGTGTAACCTTCACACTGATTCTGAAGTACAAACAATCATCTTTAAGATACTGATGATTAGTACTTGGATTATGCTTCAGCTCTTGATGTGATACGAATTTCTTATAACCCCATCCACTTGGGCTTCTACCTTCCATCACTCTTTGCTTGTATTTCCCTGGAATAGTATCATTGAATGATATGGTATATTTCTTATGATTCTTATCCTCCAGTTGATTCAGTAGTTCTATAGTAACGTCTCCCTGAAATGGCCACTCCAATATATCATCATATTCTCCTGCCATGAAGCATATGAAGCAAGAGACATGTGTACCTTTACCTTCTCCATTACCATTAGGATAGACTAGTAATGACATTCTGTATTTTACTGGTGATGTGTAGAAGCCCGGGCTGTACCATGTCTCATCTTCCTTCTTCTCAGTAAATTGGCTTAGCTTCAATACTTCATTTGTTATCATTGATGGATTTTTCTGCTCTAGACTTGTTTTGAGAGATTCTATTGTCTCTGTTGTCACTTCCAGTTGTTTCTTTGTCAGTTGTAGGTGTGCTGTTATTGATTCTTCATTGTGCTTCTCTTGTTCTTCTCTCTTCATTTTCTTATTACATCCAACAGTATTGTATTCACATGGTACGATAGCTTTAGGGCAGGTCTCATTGTGTGATTCTAGTAAACATCGTGGTATCATACTACAGCCTTCATTACTGCATTGGATTGGGAGGTCAGGACACTCATCAAGATGACTGCTGCTTGTTATCAGTTGATATCGACCTTTTCGCTTGCAATACTGACAGTTAACCATTCGTTTAGTACAGTTGTCTGTCAGATGTGTCTCCATTGATCTCCTCTTAATCTTCTCTCCACACTCATTAGTACAAGGTACCAGTTGATAGTTACAGCTATTAAGATGAGTATCAATTGATGTACCAGTTTCATTAATAGTTCCCTGCCACTCACAACCCTCCTCACTGTTAGTACAGTGAATCTTAAGAGCAATGATCTCACGATTGAGCTTTCCATCATTGAAAAAGCTCAATTCTTCTTGACAAAGAGGACATTTTGGTTGCTTCACTGATAGTCCAAGTTGCTCCAGACAGGTCTTACAGAAGGTATTGTAGCAGCAGGTAACTTGTTGAGGATCACAAGATACTAATGTACAGATGGCACAAATGTATCTACTGGGAGGATCACCATCAACAAACTTATAATCAAATCCACCATATGGTTTAGCCATTTTTGAAGTAGGTGGGACTTTAATTATTACCCTTAATTACTATTTTTATTATTTCTTGAGCCTGTTTGTAATTGTTGAGTACATGTACATATAATTGTAATTATTACTTATTATAATTATTACTTATTATAAATACAAACTTTTAATTTTGATAAGTAAATAACACTTTACTCCTGTTTATGCATGCATTTGATTAGGCCCTGTGAAATTATGCTAGCATAATTTTGAGAATAATAGGGAATTCATAGAATCAAGAATAATTCAAGAATAATAGGCAGTATTTATGAGAACTTTTTTAAAAAATTATAAATCGGTAAAGTATAGTCATAGACTATAAAACTATAGACTATAATTATTAGTATGATTAATTATGCCATCACAATTAATCATGATTGAAATATTTTTGTTATATTAATTACTTTATATTAATGAATAATAGTAGAATAATAGGCATGTTTGAAAAGAATAATGGGCAATACATAGAAGAATCTGAGAATAGAATAATAGGCAAAAATAAAAGCATAATTTCACAAGGCCTACATTTGATGATACTTTAGTTTTATGTATCTAAAGTTTTAGTTTAGGATTAACACAACAGTTCCTCTTATCCATGCATATGGCTCAAATGTATCATTTACATGTATACTGACTTTAAAGTATGAACAATCATCTTTAAGGTATAGACATCTTCTACAAGTATTATATTCTATTGCTTCTAACTCCCTGTGTGATATGAACTTCTTGCGACCTATGCTTCTGCCTTCACTTCTTCTGTCATTCAATGGCAAATCATTAAAGCTCATAATACATTTCTTGTGCTTCCTATCCTCCATTTGATTCAATAGCTGTACGGTAACAGACCCGTTAAATGACCACTCCAATGAATCATCATATTTCCCTTTCATGAGGTTGATGTAGAGAGAGACGTGTGTTCCCTTACCTTCCTCGTTGCCATTAGGATAGACACTTACAGATATCTTGTATCCTCCTGGCTTTGTGTAGAAGGCTGTGCTGTGCCATGTCTC